GAGCAGTGGCTTGTAGTTCTCCTTGAAGAGATCCTTTACGTTCCTTGTTAGTTGTATTCCTAGGTATTTTATTCTCTTTGTGGCAATTGTGAATGGAAGTTTGTTCTTGATTTGGCTCTCTTTAAGTCTGTTATTGGTGTATAGGAATGCATGTGATTTTTGCACATTGATTTTGTATCCTGAGACTTTGCTGAACTTGCTTATCAGCTTCGGGAGGTTTGGGGCTCCTAGAAGACGATGGAGTCTTCTAGATATACAATCATGCCGTCTGCAAATAGAGACGATTTGACTTCCTCCTTTCCTATTTGAATGTCCTTTATTTCTTTTTCTTGCCTGATTGCTCTGGCTAGAACTTCTAATACTATATTGAATAGCAGTGGTGAGAGAGGGCATCCTTGTCTGGTGCCACATTTCAAGGGGAATGCTTCCAGTTTTTGCCCATTCAGTATGATATTGGCTGTTGGTTTGTCATAAATAACTTTTATTATTTTGAGATACGTTCCGTCAATACCTAGCTTATCGAGGGTTTTTAGCATAAAGTGTTGTTGAATTTTGTCAAAGGCCTTCTCTGCATCAGTTGAGATAATCATGTGGTTTTTGTCTTTGGTTCTGTTTATGTGGTGAATTACGTTTATAGACTTGCGTATGTTGAACCAGCCTTGCATCCCTGGGATGAAGCCTACTTGATCATGGTGGATAAGCTTTTTGATGTGCTGTTGCAATCGGCTTGTCAGTATTTTGTTGAAGATTTTTGCATCTAGTTCATCATGGATATTGGCCTGAAGTTTTCTATTCTTGTTGAGTCTCTGCCGGGTTTTGGAATCAGGATGATGTTGGTGTCATAAAATGATTTGGGAAGAATTCCCTCTTTTTGTATTGTTTGGAATAGTTTCAGAAGGAATGGTACCAGCTCCTCTTTGTATGACTGGTAGAATTCAGCTGTGAACCCATCTGGACCTGGGCTTTTTTTGGGTGGTAAGCTCTTAATTGCTGCCTCAACTTCAGACCTTGTTATGGGTCTGTTCAGGGTTTCGGCTTCTTCCTGGTTTAGGCTTGGGAGGAGGCAAGTGTCCAGGAATTTATCCATTTCTTCCAGGTTCATTAGTTTGTATGCATAGAGTTGTTTGTAATAATCTCTGATGATGGTTTGAATTTCTGTGGAATCTGTGGTGATATCCCCTTTATCGTTTTTTATTGCATCAATTTGGTTATTCTCTCTTTTCTTTTTTAGTAATCTGGCTAGTGGTCTGTCTATTTTGTTGATCTTTTCAAAAAACCAGCTCCTGGATTTATTGATTTTCTGAAGGGTTTTTTGTGTCTCTGTCTCCTTCAGTTCTGCTCTGTTCTTAGCTATTTCTTGTATTCTGCTAGACTTTGAGTTTTTTTGATATTGCTCCTCTAGCTCTTTCAGTTTTGATGATATGGTGTCAATTTTTGATCTCTCCTTGCTTCTCATGTGGGCACTTATTGCTATATATTTTCCTCTAGAGACTGCTTTAAATGTGCCACAGAGATTCTGGTATTTTCTGTCTTCGTTCTCGTTGGTTTAGAAGAACATCTTTATTTCTGTCTTCATTTCATTGTTTATCCAGTCAACATTCAAGAGCAAGTTGTTCAGTTTCCATGAAGCTGTGCGGTTCTGGGTTAGTTTTTGAATTCTGAGTTCTAACTTGATTGCACTGTGGTCTGAGAGACTGTTTGTTACGATTTCCGTTATTTTGCATTTGCTGAGGAGTGATTTACTCCCAATTATGTGATCAATTTTAGAGTAGGTGTGATGTGGTGCTGCGAAGAATGTATATTCTGTGGATTTGGGGTGGAGAGTTCTGTAAATGTCTATTAGGTTTGCTTGGTCTAGGTCTGAGTTCAAGTCCTGGATATCCTTGTTAATTTTCTGTCTGGTTGATCTGTCTAATGTTGACAATGGGGTGTTAAAGTCTCCCACTATTATTGTGTGGGAGTCGAAGTCTCCTTGTAAGTCATTAAGAACTTGCCTTATGTATCTGGGTGCTCCTATATTGGGTGCGTATATATTTAGGATCGTTAGCTCTTCTTGTTGCATTGATCCTTTTACCATTATGTAATGTCCCTCTTTGTCTCTTATGATCTTTGTTGCTTTAAAGTCTAATTTATCAGAGATGAGAATTGCAACTCCTGCTTTTTTTTTTTGCTCTCCATTTGCTTGGTAGATCTTCCTCCATCCCTTTATTTTGAGCCTTTGCGTATCCTTACATGTGAGATGGGTTTCCTGGATACAGCACACGGATGGGTTTGTCTTTTTATCCAATTTGCCAGTCTGTGTCTTTTGATTGGGGCATTTAGTCCATTTACATTTAGGGTTAATATTGTTATGTGTGAATTTGATACTGCCATTTTTTGCTAGCTGGGTGTTTTGCCCTTTAGTTGAGCTGGTGCTTGTTGTTCCTTTATATGTGTAGAGCCTCTTTCAGGAGCTCTTGTAGAGCTGGCCTGGTGGTGACGAAATCTCTGAGTACTTGCATGTTCCCAAAGGATTTTATTTTTCCTTCACTTATGAAGCTTAGTTTGGCTGGATAGGAGATTCTGGGTTGAAAGTTCTTTTCTTTAAGGATGTTGAATATTGGCCCCCCACTCTCTTCTGGCTTCTAGGGTTTCTGCTGAGAGATCTGCTGTGATTCTGATGGGCTTCCCTTTATGGGTAACCCGACCTTTCTCTCTGGCTGCCCTTAGTATTTTCTCCTTCATTTCAACCCTGGTGAATCTGATGATTATGTGCCTTGGGGTTGCTCTTCTTGATGAATATCTTTGTGGTGTTCTCTGTATTTCCTGGACCTGAATGTTTGCCTGCCTTGCTAGGTTGGGGAAGTTTTCCTGGATAATATCCTGAAGAGTATTTTCCAGTTTGGATTCATTCTCTTCATCACATTCAGGTATGCCTTTCAAACGTAGATTAGGTCTTTTCACATAGTCCCACATTTCTTGGAGACTTTGTTCATTCCTTTTTACCCTTTTTTCTCCAGTCTTGCCTTCCCATTTTATTTCATTGAGTTGATCTTTGACCTGTGATATCCTTTCTTCTGCTTGGTCAATTCAGCTGTTGATACTTGTGCATGCTTCACGAAGTTCTCGTGTTGCGTTTTTCAGCTCCATCAATTCACTTATGTTCCTTTCTATTTTGTCCATTCTCGTTAGCATTTCGTCAAATCTTTTTTCAAGGTTCTTAGTTTCTTTACATTTGGTTAGAACATGTTATTTAAGTTCACAGAAGTTTCTTACTACCCACCTTCTGAAGTCTGATTCTGTCATTTCATCACACTCGTTCTCCATCCAACCTTGTTCCCTTGCTGGTGAGGAGTTGTGATCCCTTGTAGGAGGAGAGGTGTTCTGGTTTCGGGTGTTTTCATCCTTTTTGCGCTGGTTTCTTCCCATCTTTAAGGATTTATCCACCTGTCGTCTTTGTAGTTGCTGGCTTTCAGATTGGGTCTCAGATCTTTCAGATTGACGTTCTGTTTGTTGATGGTGAGGTTATTTCTGTTTCTTGGTTTTCCTTCTGACAGTCTGGCCCCTCTGCTGTAGGTCTGCTGAGGTTCACTCCAGGCCCTGCTTGCCTGGGGTTCACCTGCAGCAGCTGCTGAACAGTAAGGGTTGTTACCAGTTTTCTTCTTCTGCTATCTTTGTCCCAGAAGGATACCCACCTAGTGTCAATCTGATCTCTTTGGATATATAGGTGTCAGGGAGCTGCTTGAGGAGACGGTCTCTTCTTTATAGGAGCTCAAATGGTGAGCTGTGAACTCTGTTGTTGTTCATTCAGAGCTGCTGGGCAGGTACGTTTACGTCTGCTGCAGCAGAACTCATAAACTGCTTTTTGTTCCCAGGTGCTCTGTCCCAGGGATTTAGGGCTTTCTTTATGAGTTTCCGTTATGCTGCTGCCTTCTTTTTTTTTTCCTTCAGAGCTGCCCTGCCCAGCAAGGAGGCAGCCTAGTCACTGTCGGCCTGTAGAGGCTTTGCTGAGCTGCTGTGGGCTCCACCCCGCTGCCGGGTGAAATTCCTTGCAGTCCTGTTTATATGGGTGTAGTTATAACTGCTTTGGCGATGCTGGCCTGCATCTCTTGAGGCGGAGTCTCTCTGCTGTGGCGGGTTGCCTTGGCAACGGCGGGCTGCCTCAGCAATGGCGGGTTGCCTTGGCAACGGCGGGCTGCCTCCGCATTGACTACCTCCGTCCTGGCGGCCTCGGTAATGGCGGACGCCCCTCCCCCACAGAACTGGACCGTCCCGGGTTCAGCTGCGCTTGCTGTTAAAGTCCCAATCCAGAGTTTCTGGTTGCTGTTCTTTTGTGGGGGCGGGACCAGCCGAGCCTGATCGCCTGGCTCCCTGCCTCAGCTCCTTTTTTAAGTTGGTGTTCCAGTCGCCTGTTGAAGAGGCGCCGGAGTCTGTTTGTTTTCCCCTGCGGCCACTCACTGCGCTGGCTTAAACAGCGGCACTGAGGTTTGTGGCGCTTTTTTTTTTTTTTTGCCCTGGAATCTACTGTCCTGGTTCCCTTCTCAGTCCCCTTTTTAAACAGACGAATGGGCAACTTCCCATGGCTCCAATCGCCAGCCAAAACGGCACCCGGACCGGTGTATTTTGTACAGAGAACTGGAGAACCGCTGCTCTGTGGCGCTGACAAAGCAGCCGCGCAGGGCAAAGCAGCGGCCCCGGCCGGCACAGCCGCGCTGGCCAAAACAGCCGCGCTGGCGACCGTGGAGCCCCTCCGCCTGGGAATTTCCTAGTCTGTGGGCAATAAAAATGCGGCGTCCACTCACCCTCTGCGCTTTCACTGGGAGCTGCAATCCTCTGCGCTTTCACTGGGAGCTGCAATCCTGGGCTGTTCCTAAATGGCCATCTTGGATCCTCTTTAAGAGTCTTATATCTCCTCAGTATTATCACAAACCACCTTGTTAGATTTTAAATTAACTAATTTTAACCCAATTTTAATTAAAAACTGCTCACAGTCCCAAGCAAGCAATACTACTGCACATTACACTCATATTTTAGGAACATGTGCTTCCCCTCATATCCCCAAACTGACAATGCATCTGTGAATTACATTCCATTATCTGAATTTATAACACTCAAAATCTTATGCTCTTTCACTGAACAAGAACATGAATATACCTCTAGTCTGAAAATACTTCGTGAACTCTGAAGTGATTCTCTATGGAGGAATTTGACTAGTCACCAGCATACCAATATCCCCAATATGTAAACAAATTTATTTTACTCCTTTCAACTCAAAGATCTCATTGCATCATGTACTTGGTAAATTGTTACATGGGTGTGAACAATAATCCTTGTTTGTGTAAATTCTTATAAGACTTGTGGTTAAGTAACCCTAGTAGTGCTTCCTTCGGAATGACCACCATCTAGCCGATACATTGTTCTTACTTTTTAATGAAAGCATCTATATTCTTGCCTTACTTCAATTAAAAAATAAACCGATGCAAAACCACCCAACCTTTATTTAATCGAGACAAACTAAAAGATGTGTTTAGTGATGGTGCATAAATACGGCAGGCTCATCAGATTTTTCACAGGTCCTCTCTTTTTCTCCCTGGAAACTATTTGTATATGAGAAAAATTGGACTACAATTAGATGCTGTTGAGTCCTTATTTCAAACATTCAAATTTTTGTTTGATAGACTACTCTGACTTAAAAGCCTTAACTAGTAACATATAAAGGTGCTTAAAAGCTCCAGAGTTAGTATCGTCTTCTAGGGTACCAAACATGTTACTTTTCAGAAAACTATGGTGGCAGCTGAATTTGTGCAAATGCATTTGGGAGCACTTTATCACTTTATAGCTATTGGGGAACTGGTGGACTGAAATGGTGACATTTTCTATACTCCAATTTTCTCATTGGTAATTAGCAGGATGACAAGTCATAATTTCACGGTAATTCTGCACATCCCCGGAAAAGAGAGGATGTGGCGGCTGCGGTTCCTCTTTTGTCCCCTCCCAGAATTGTCTGGCGCTTCAATCCTTCCCTGGTGCGGTCAGCAGGAGCCACTTGGCGGTGCAGATGGGCTCCGGGTATAGCGGACACGGCAGGCTCTAAGGTGGCGCCCAGGGGCCAAGGGGAGCCTTGCCTACCGTGACTGCCACTGGGACTCACGTTTCTCTCCTGAGAGCCGGACGAGACAGCTCCAGTTCCAAGCTGCAGCAGCAGGAGCAGCAGCCAGGAGACAGCAAAAGCCCGAGCTGTCGGGAGTCGGACGGTGAGGGGTCTTGTGGGAGGGTCTACGCAGGACGCCCAGCTGTTGGGGCCCCGGGGCCAGGCCTGAAGCTGTAGCGGGGCGACCACTTCACAGGTCGATGTCAGCGCGCAATCCCCGGATTTTATTTTTCCTATAGTTAAATTGTATTCCATTGTGTGTATATACCGCGTATGCTCTATCCATTTACGCCTTGATGAAAACTAAGATTGATTCCATATCTGGGCTACTGTCAATCGAGCCATAATAAACATGGTAGTGCAGATATCTCTTCTATACACTGATTTTTATTTCCTTTTAACATACACTCAATAGTGGAACTGCTGGATTATATGGTAGTTTCATTTTTAGGTTTTGGTTTTTGTTTTGAGAAATCTGCATAGTTTTCCCTGAAGATTTCTAAAAAATAAATGAATAAATAAATCTAAAAATGTTCTAAATTTACATTCACAGCAACTGTGTATAAGTGTTCCCTTTTCTCCACATCCTCATCAAACCTTGTTTTTTGTTTTTCTTTTGGTCTTCTTGTGGCCATTTTAAATGGGGTGAGGAACGACCTCATGTGGTTTTGGATTGTATTTTCCAGAAGATTAGCGATGTTGGCCATTTCCTTAGGTCTTTTTTGGGAAAATATCTATTCAGATCTTTTGCTCATTCTTTAGTTTCATTTTTTCAATCTTTATTGCTGTTGAGTCCTTATATATTTTGGATATTAACTCCTTGTCAGATGCACACAATTTCTATTATTTTACAGGATGTGTTTTTACTGTTAATAGATTTCTACGCTGTCCAGCAGCTTTTATTTTAATATTTTATTGATATTAATTTTTCTGTTTTCTGACTTGATACAGGGTAAGAGTTTTCCCTCAGCTTCATAGGTTATCTGTCGTCTATCTCACTGTTTCTAAGAGTTTTTCTTCTTTTTTGTGTCATGCAGATTGATCATTATCCTTTTTTAAAGACTTATTTTATTTATAATTGACACATAATAATTGTACATATTCTGGGGTACAGTGTGATGTTTCAAGTATATACTGCACAATGACCCAATCAGGGTAATTTGCATATCTAGCACTTTAAACATTTTTTTGTGCTAATAAAATTTGAAATCTTCTCTTCTAGCTGTGTTAGAATAAACAGTACATTATTATTAGTTATAGTCACCCTACTGTGTAATAGAACACCAGAATTTACTCTCCGTCTAACTGTAACTTTGGAACTTTGATAAACCTCTCCCCATTCCTTCATCCCTTCACTCTCCATGGCCTCTGGTAACCACCATTCTACTCTACTTCTATGAGATCAACTTTTTTCGATTTCACATATGAGTGATATCATGTGGTTTTACTTCTTTCTGTAACTGGCTTATTTCACATTACAGAATGTCCCCTGGGTTCATCCATCTTGACATAAATGACAGAAGTTTATTCTGTTTTATTACTGAACATTATTTGTGTGTGTGTGTGTGTATGTATAACATTTTCTTCAATCATCTGTAGATGGCCACTTATACACTGTTGATAAGAATGTAAGTTTGTACAAACCTTAGGGAAAAAAGCATGGAGGTTTTTCAAGAAATTATAAATAGAGCTGCCATATACACATGACCCAGCAATTCCACCAGTGGATACATATCAAAAGGAAATAAAAACAGTAAGTCAAAAAGATAATTGAACTTTCACATTTATTGAAGCGGTACTCACAATGACCTAAACCATTATTTAAGTATTTCTCAATTTATGTTTTTTGACTTACTACACTCTAAACTTTGATAAAATTCATGTGTTGTTTACAATTTCTGAAACTTATGATTCACCAATTCTTTAAATATTGCCTTCCTGTTTATAGTCTACAGAATAAAAGTTTTTTATTTTTTCTCATCTAATCTTCACATATAAATAAATATATTTGCATTTTGTATTAACATGCCTTCTATAAAGCATATGACTACATTAATTGTACTCAGCATTTCAGTTTATTAGTCCTCCCATCAGCTCAGTCTATTTTATTATGTAATTTGTATGATATACATTCTTTTACTACATTTTTAATAGTTTATTTTCTTTCTTTTTTTTTTTTTTTGAGATGGAGTTTCGCTCGTTACCCGGGCTGGAGTGCAATGGCGCAATCTCGGCTCACCGCAACCTCCGTCTCCTGGGTTCAAGCAATTCTCCTGCCTCAGCCTCCTGAGTAGCAGGGACTACAGGCACGCACCACCATGCCCAGCTAATTTTTTGTAGTTTTAGTAGAGACGGGGTTTCACCATGTTGACCAGGATGGTCTTGATCTCTTGACCTCGTGATCCACCCGCCTCAGCCTCCCAAAGTGCTGGGATTACAGGCGTGAGCCACCGTGCCCGGCCTAATAGTTTATTTTCTATTTGCCTCTTTTCCAGATACAACTTGACAAGCTCATAGATTTTCTTCACATTATTTTCATTTTTTTTGTTTTTCACTATATTGCAAACATTTGAATATAAAACCTCATATCTGAGTTTTAGGTGCCTTATTGTTTAATCTAATCTAATGGTTCACACTTGTAGCTTCTCTCTCTTTGTGCAACATAATTTACAATTTAGTTATCACATACGGAAGACAGCACACTCTGTATGCCAGCAGGCAGTTTATCCATGTATATTCCACGTGCCTTGCCAGGAGTGAACAACCTAAAAAGATCTGACATCTTTGTGATCAGATGCATGTGAATGGAGCACTGGCCACTTAGGTTGATACTTCTTTGGATCAATACTTTTATTTACTTCTGGTCTTGAGAAGTTTCCATAATTTTCTTTTAACTATACTAGGCATTTTGTGAATTTTTGAAACTTTTTATTTATTTATTTATTTTTGAGATGGAGTCTCGCTCTGTTGCCCAGGCTAGAGTGCAATGGCACTATCTCGACTCACTGCAGCCTCCACCTCCCAGGTTCAAGCCATTCTCCTACCTCAGCCTCCCCGGTAGCTGGGATTACAGGTGCCTGACGATGTGCTCGGCTAATTTTTGTATTTTTAGTAAAGACAGGATTTCACCATCTTGGCCAGGCTATTCTTGAACTCTTGACATCGTGATCCACCTGCCTCAGCTTCCCAAAGTGCTGAAATTACAGGTGTGGGCCACCACGCCCGGCTGAATTCTTGTAATTTCTTGATAATTTTAGCTATCTGCATTAAGTTTTTAAAGCATGTTATTTTCTTGAAAAGCAGAAATATCAACAGTTGCATACATGAATAAAACATTTTACAGAGATTTGCTATGGCATAGATCGCCTCCTCATAAGAAATTGCAAAATGAGTACAATAGAGCGGTATTTCTTCATTTGAAATACCGCTCTCTTATATAGACAGTATTGTACTAATTTGTAGAATGTGATTAACTTTTTACCATTAGAAAATTAATGATAAATTATGCACACATTTCTGAAATATTTTACTGCAGGTAGTAGGATGGTCAGAATCATTGTTGCCTTTAACCTAATAATATGTGGGAAAAATATTTACCTGAATTCAGATCTTTCAGCTTCAATTGCCATTCTACCTCATTAGCAAGCACTTCCCTAACTCCATATAAAGTATCATTTGAATTTTTTAATTCAGAATTTTTTTAAAGAGTGTTTTTAAAAATGTTATAGTGTTTTTATTGCAACTGAGGACATTTGCAATAAATATCTTGAGTTTGAGATCATGGTTAAGTATTCCTTTTGTACTAGAAATCAGATTTCTCTGATCTAACTCCATTGCCTGCAATAATACTTAGGAAAACTACAAATGCCAGCACACTATTT